GTTACTGGTATAGAAAGAACACTTAAATAAGAAGCATTTGGAGAAATTATCTGGAAGACAGGCCATAAGAGGGAAGGAAATTAGCAAGATTTTTTTTCAATAAGCTTCCTTTCAGGTGGTAGATACTTTGCCACTGTGTTCTGAAGGAAATAGGAATATGGTTTGATCTGAAAGAGAAAGATAATAAAATCCCTTTTCTCTAGCCTTATTTCTTTATCTGGAAAATGTGGTAGGTTTCTAACACTGAAATCCTATGAGCCTATGACTCTAAGGCAATCCTAATAGGAGAAATACTAAAATTGGCTCCTGAACCAGAGAAATTGCCAGTTCTGTGCCTACTACCCCTTTTATTTAGCCTACAAACATTTACTGACTATCTGCACTGGGTCAAGTACTATACTGATTGCCAGACATACAGAGGCATATAAATAAGATAGTGACTTCTAATAGTTCACAGTCTAGCAAGAAATATAAATGGAAAATAAATCACTGCAAAGTGATATGATCAGTGACCAGCTACTAGAGAGATATATTGTGGGAGTCCAGAAAAATTAACACAAACCTCATTTTAGAGGGACCAGACACATTGCAGAAGACTCACTTAACTGTCTTCAAGGATGAGTAGAAGTTTGTCTGGTAGAAATTTTAAAAAAGGATATTCTAAGATGTGCAAGTGCTGTGACATATAAAAGAATATGGGTATATTCCAAGAAAAGGAAGAACTTCAAAGTGAGTAAACTATGGAGTGCAAGGTGGGAAGTAGCAGGAAAAAATCTAGTAGGACAGAATGACAACAGATTGGAAAGGATTTCAAATGCAATTCAAAATAGTTTGGGTTTTACCCTCTGGGAAATAGAAAATCATTGTATTAACCTAGGGAGTAGTACGGTCTGAATTTCCCTTATGAAAAAAAGTCTCTAGTGACCTTAGGAAGGATAACTCATCCAAAAGGTTGCATATATGTTTATGCTCCTGTCATTTGTATTCATGTGTGCTTAGCTGTCCTTTTCTTAGCTTGTCCCTGGTGTTCTGCTAGACATGTGTACTGACCAGTTCCTCTCCACCTCCACATTCTTTCAAGTCTCTGTTTTCAGTCTCTACAACTGCCACTGATAAATGTTGTTGAAAGAAGGTAGATGAAAGGGGTAGGGAAGGAAGAGGAGGGAATAATATGAATAATCACAAAGGAAATATCAGAGACAAAGAGAGAAGTTATACTAATAAAAATAACAATGTAATGGTAAATGGTATTGAGTGCACACTATGTGACAAGCTCATTACTTTATGCTTCACAGTACCTCATTAAATCTCAACCCAACAACAAAGTTACCAATTTATCCTTATTTGCAGATGAGCTAAGTGAAGCTTAGAAGTTGTTAAGTAACTTGGCTATCGTTATAAAGTAAATGAGAGAAAAGAGATTCAAGTAAGTCCTGTCTAACTCTAAATCCTATGCTTGTAACTTTTATTCTATACTTCTAATAATATCAGTTACTGAATGTTAACCACGTGTCAAAATCTGTCCTAGCTGCTTTGCACAGGCTACCTCTATGACCTACAATAACCCAAAAAAGTAAATATCATTGTCCCCATTTCACAGAAGAGGAAGGAGACTGAGTAACTGATCTAAGGTTGTACAACTAGTAAGAGGCATCACCAAAGTTTGGGTGGTGATGCCTAGTCTGTTTGGATGTACCCTTTCCACTACATTATGATGTGTATATATTTCTGATTCTTTCCTTCCCTATAAACTCTTCCCCATTTCTACATTTCCAGATTCTACCTTCAAGGCTCAGTTAATATCTTACTTCTTCCAGAAGTCTGTCAACAAAATATTAGTTCACCATTGCATTCCTATCTGAATTATTTGTGTTACATTCATTTAATTTGATCAGAATAGATATGTATTTGTTTCCTCCTATATGTTTACATTCTATATCTTCAATCAGGCAACCCCACAGTGCCTATAGCAGGTTTCTCAGGCAGGATATACTGTCTATGCATACCTTATACTACTCAGCCTCTAGAAGTGGACAAGAATTGTGCCATAATATTTTGTATCCCCCAAGATAACTAGCAGAAACCTAAGTATGTGGTAGGGCTTAATAAATAATGTGTTGAATGACTCCAACGTACTCTAATAGTATATAGTTTTCAATAATAATAGTAACAACAGCTAATTTTCCCTGTATGTATGGAGACTTTATATATACTCAATCCTTGCAAAAGCTAGTAATGTAGGTAATATTGTTACCTTCTTTTTACAGAGGAAACTCTGTTAAATCAAAAAAGTTAAGCGACTTGTTCAAGGTCATGCAGCCAATAAGGGTGGCAGAGACAAGATTCAAGCCCATGCAGTTTCACTTCAGAGTCAGCATTCTTTTGACTACTTTACAATATGGCCTTCACTCAATAGATGTTGTTCCAAGATTAAGGAACTATCACATCTTAAAAAAAAACTGTAAATGCACACATTACTTCTGCTATAAACACTGGAAAAGATAGAAAGAAGAGTCTGTCTATATAAAGTAGAAAACCAGAGCAGTAGATACAAAAATGCTAGGAAAAATAATAAGAATATTGAGAAGTATTTCTCTTAGAGTGTAACATTTTTGCATAATTTTCTTTGATTTGTGAAGCATCCATGCCAACTTCCTCTCAATACACCAAATTAGATAGCATACCTCAGAGTGAGCAGCCATTGTTAGCAAAGACCCTGAAACCCTATCCCAGAAACATGTAATCCTGAACCAGTGAAATACAACCACCTCTGCACTGACACAGAACAGCTGTTTAGGGTGTCCAAGGAATGGCCTG